GGATGGTCTCTCTGTCCTACACCATCACACAGGATGGTCTCTCTGTCCTATACCATCACACAGGATGGTCTCTCTGTCCTACACCATCACACAGGATGGTCTTTCTGTCCTATACCATCACACAGGATGGTCTCTCTGTCCTACACCATCACACAGGATGGTTTTCCTATCGTACACCATCACACAGGATGGTCTTCCTATCGTACTCCATCACACAGGATGGTCTTCCTATCGTACACCATCACACATGATGGTCTTCGTATCGTACACCATCACACAGGATGGTCTTCCTATCGTACTCCATCACACAGGATGGTCTTCCTATCGTACACCATCACACAGGATGGTCTTCCTATCGTACACCATCACACAGGATGGTCTTCCTATCGTACTCCATCACACAGGATGGTCTTCCTATCGTACACCATCACACAGGATGGTCTTCCTATCGTACTCCATCACACAGGATGGTCTTCCTATCGTACACCATCACACAGGATGGTCTTCCTATCGTACACCATCACACATGATGGTCTTCCTATCGTACACCAACACACATAATGGTCTTCCTATCGTACACCATCACACAGGATGGTCTTCCTATCGTACACCATCACACAGGATGGTCTTCCTATCGTACTCCATCACACAGGATGGTTTTCCTATCGTACACCATCACACAGGATGGTCTTCCTATCGTACTCCATCACACAGGATGGTCTTCCTATCGTACACCATCACACATGATGGTCTTCCTATCGTACACCATCACACATGATGGTCTTCGTATCGTACACCATCACACAGGATGGTCTTCCTATCGTACACCATCACACAGGATGGTCTTCCTATCGTACACCATCACACATGATGGTCTTCGTATCGTACACCATCACACAGGATGGTCTTCCTATCGTACACCATCACACATGATGGTCTTCGTATCGTACACCAACACACATAATGGTCTTCCTATCGTACACCATCACACATGATGGTCTTCGTATCGTACACCATCACACAGGATGGTCTTCCTATCGTACACCATCACACAGGATGGTCTTCCTATCGTACACCATCACACCTGATGGTCTTCGTATCGTACACCAACACACATAATGGTCTTCCTATCGTACTCCATCACATAAGATGATCTCCCTGACCTACACCATCACATACGATGATCTCCCTGTCCTACACCATCACGTACGATGATCTCCCTGCCCTACACCATCACGTACGATGATCTCCCTGTCCTACACCATCACATAAGATGATCTCCCTGCCCTACACCATCACATACGATGATCTCCCTGTCCTACACCATCACATACGATGATCTCCCTGTCCTACACCATCACATACGATGATCTCCCTGTCCTACACCATCACGTACGATGATCTCCCTGTCCTACACCATCACGTACGATGGGCTTGCAGACAAGACCATGTAATTCGCCAGCCTTACCTGAGAGGCTTCAGTAAGGCGATGGGGATATCAAGTTGTCTTCCACTACTGATTCAGCAGTTACAGACTGAAGTGAATTTTGTGGATGGTATATCACACACCAGTTCAGTAGAAATAATGTGGACATCATTATGTATTTTCTGACTATAAATAACAGCTTACGAGTACATAGACAAGAGGGAATGAAAGCATTTGAAGCAAATTAACAAATTACGAGAGTGGGAAGCATTATGTGGATTAAACAATGCCAGCAACATAATCTGTAATGTATTACTACTACTACTACTACTACTACTACTACTACTACTACTACTACTACTACTACTACTACTACTACTACTACTACCACTAGTATTAAAGCTACTACACCTCACTCTAAGCCTATATATACCCTCTGTGTCCATGTATTGTTTGTAACGGCTTAACAAAGCTCCTGGAGAGCGAAACGTTGCCACAGTAAAATGTCACATTAGTTGCACTTGTGTCCTTTTACCTAAGATAATCTGTAATGTAACATCTCTTAGGTTAATATAACTACAACATAACATATCAGGCGAGCAAGTGACACTCCTACGTAACTCATTTACCCATATACATATACATATACATATATATATACATATACATATACATATACATATACATATACATATGATCATATGTAACTGCAAATTTTATATATTTGATTAACCTTTATTTTATTCGTTTATCAGAGAAAATAGTTGCAGCCAGGCAGAGTTCTGTGGATAAAATGTATTACTGTACCCGTAGGCTGACCTGGGAGGTCCTCTAGTGGTACACGAAGGAAGCGCAGAGGGAGCTGTGGGTCGCTATGTTCAGGTAGGAGTGGCAGCCCATAGTGACGGATGCAAGGTTGACAACCCCCGTCTCCCTGGTGTCTACACCGACCTTGCCCGTAAGATTCATTTCTCTCTCTCTCTCTCTCTCTCTCTCTCTCTCTCTCTCTCTCTCTCTCTCTCTCTCTCTCTCTCTCTCTCTCTCTCTCTCTCTCTCTCTCTCTCTCTCTCTTTCTCTCTCTCCCTCTCTTTCCCTCTGCTCTTATCTAATTGGAAAAGAAGCACTTGTGACCTCTTGAGTGTGTTCCACATCTGTGACTCGAAGGTATTTATTTATTTCTTTATTTATTTATTTATTTAGTAATTTTAGCATACATACAGAGGTACAAAAAAATACAGGTAAGAGCAGCATGCCAAAGCCACTTACATGCATAGCATTACGGGCTGGCTTAAAATTAACTTAAGATTGACTAAGCAATGATGAAATCGGTGATAAAACATTATTATAAACAGATAACTATAAAGCACAAATGAGTATTACAAAGACAGGTCATATGGTTGCTTGCATTGCTGTACATTCAGTAGAATGGAGTATTCTGTTAGGTAGTGTATTTAAAAAATAACAAAGTTAGATTAGGTCCTAGGTTTAACATTTGTGTGATATAATTGTGAGTAACATATAGGATATACAATTTATAAGGTTCAGTTATTCACTATTTATTTGGTTTTGAGTGAGTAAGTGATCTTTGAGAAGAGACTTGAATTTATAAACAGGTAGTGTTTCTTTTATATTTACAGGTAATGAATTCCAGATTTTAGGGCCTTTTATGTGCATTGAGTTTTTGCATAGCGTGAGATGGACACGAGGAACATCAAAGAGTGATCTGTGCCTTGTGTTATGGTCATGTGTTCTGTTGAGGTTGGCAAGGAGATGTTTGAGGGGAGGGTTAATATCAGAGTTAAGTGTTCTATGTATGTAATAGGTGCAGTAATAAGTATGGATGTTTTGTATGGTGAGTAGGTTGAGTGTTTTGAATATTGGTGGAGTGTGCTGCCTGTAGTGAGAATTTGTTATCATTCTAACTGCAGCCTTTTGTTGGGTAATTAGTGGTTTGAGATGGTTAATTGTTGTTGAGCCCCATGCACAAATTCCATAGGTGAGATAGGGGTAAATAAGAGAGTGATAAAGGGCCAGGAGGGCTGACTGTGGAACATAGTACCGTATCTTCGATAGTATGCCTACAGTCTTGGAAATTTTCTTAGAAATTTGTTGTATATGTGTATGAAATTTGAGTCTATTATCAAGGTGGATTCCTAAGAATTTTCCCTCTGTTAGCTTTGTGATAGGTGATCTGTTTATCGTTATGTTAAGAGGTACATCTGTAGCTCTGTTACCAAACTGAATGAAGTAGGTTTTGTCAATGTTTAGTGTAAGTTTGTTAGTCCTCATCCAGGTAGATATTTTCCGTAATTCGGTGTTTACAGTATTGGCTAGCGTGACTGGGCTCGGGTGAGAGAAGACGTATGTAGTGTCATCTGCAAAAAGTGTGGGTTTGAGTAATTGCGAAGCATTTGGTAGGTCATTTATGTATAGGAGAAAGAGAAGAGGGCCAAGGACACTTCCCTGTGGGACACCAACTGTAATTGGTTGAGAGGAAGAGCTTGCCCCATTTGCGTACACATATTGGCTTCTGTTGCTGAGGTAAGACTTGAGGTAGTTGAGGGAGTGCCCTCTAATACCATAGTGTGACAATTTTACGTGGAGCAAGTCATGGTCAACTGTATCAAAAGCTTTACGTAAGTCAATGAAGATCCCCAGTGGGACTTCTTTTTTCTCTATTGCAGTGTATATATGTTCTAGCATGTGTATAATAGCATCATTAGTATTTTTATTAGGCCTGAATCCAAATTGGCAGGGGTTGAGAATGTTTTGGGAGATGAGGTAGGAGTAGATTCGTTTATGAATTAATTTTTCGAAGATTTTTGAGAGAGGGTGTAAATTGGATATTGGCCTATAGTTATTCAACTCTGTTTGGTCTCCTCCTTTATGGATCGGGGTGATCTACAGCTCCTCACCTTTTTTTTGGGCGTGTTATGCTGAAGCTCCTGGGCTTCGAAGATGTTGATCTCCACTTCTATGACTTCTTGAGTGTTGTGTTATGGCTCCTAGGGCTCTTAAGGAGTTGACCTACGGCTCCTCTGCCCTTTGAGGATTTTGAGGTATAGTTACAAAGCGTCTTCGTTGGCTGAGGTACAGGGGGCTAGGTCAGTGCTGGGCTCTTGAGGTACAGGGGGCTAGGTTAATGCTCGGCTCTTGAGGTACAGGGGGCTAGGTTAATGCTCGGCTCTTGAGGTACAGGGGGTTAGGTTAATGCTCGGCTCTTGAGGTACAGGGGGCTAGGTTAATGCTCGGCTCTTGAGGTACAGGGGGCTAGGTCAATGCTCGGCTCTTGAGGTACAGGGGGTTAGGTTAATGCTCGGCTCTTGAGGTACAGGGGGCTAGGTCAATGCTCGGCTCTTGAGGTACAGGGGGTTAGGTTAATGCTCGGCTCTTGAGGTACAGGGGGCTAGGTTAATGCTCGGCTCTTGATGTACAGGGGGCTAGGTCAATGCTCGGCTCTTGAGGTACAGGGGTTAGGTTAATGCTCGGCTCCTGAGGTACAGGGGGCTAGGTCAATGCTCGGCTCTTGAGGTACAGGGGGTTAGGTTAATACTCGGCTCTTGAGGTACAGGGGGCTAGGTCAATGCTCGGCTCTTGAGGTACAGGGGGTTAGGTTAATGCTCGGCTCTTGAGGTACAGGGGGCTAGGTCAATGCTCGGCTCTTGAGGTACAGGGGGTTAGGTTAATGCTCAGCTCTTGAGGTACAGGAGGCTAGGGTAATGCTCGGCTCTTGAGGTACAGGGGGCTAGGTCAATGCTTGGCTCTTGAGGTACAGGGGGTTAGGTTAATGCTCGGCTCTTGAGGTACAGGGGGTTAGGTTAATGCTCGGCTCTTGAGGTACAGGGGGCTAGGTTAATGCTCGGCTCTTGAGGTACAGGGGCTAGGTCAATGCTTGGCTCTTGAGGTACAGGGGGTTAGGTTAATGCTCGGCTCTTGAGGTACAGGGGGTTAGGTTAATGCTCGGCTCTTGAGGTACAGGGGGCTAGGTTAATGCTCGGTTCTTGAGGTACAGGGGGCTAGGATAATGGCTTCAGGGGTGTGCCTCTCTCGGCTCTTGAGGTACAGGGGGATGAGAGGCTGGGGTTATGAGATACGGAAATCCCTCCTCTGGAGCTAGGCGTCGCGTTCGGAGGGTCAAGCCTCCACCACGCCTTGCGTGGAGTCACTCACATAGGTTTAGCCCCTAATATAGATGTTTAATCACTAGACTCAGATCGCGTCCACAAAACAGCTGAATTAGATCGACATCCCCTTGAAGATCCTCATACGGGTTGTTTTAGGATTAAGACCCGTGTCAGGACGCAGTTCCTGACGAATCAAACAAACAATGGGTGTTAATCAACACAGTGCTCAGACTCAGCATATGAAGCATCCTAATCCACATATTCACGTCAGTGTGGAGAAATGGAATGTATGATAATGCAGGTCGGATACATTTAACCAAACACCCGCACTGAGGAAAGGAACGTTATCATCATTATGTGATTAGTTTTGCTGATGATATAATGATTCACACCACTGGATTCTCTAACACCCAAAACATCCTTAATCATGTACTAGCCTCGTGTCAGGACCTGGGGTTGATAATCTATACTGTTAAAACAAAGATACTCAATAGGCGTCCTCCTCGACAGAGAGGCACAGTTCGTCAGATCCAGTTGCATGATGGGTCTCTTCTAGAATATGTAAGCAGATACAATTATCTAGGCTTTGAGGTTCCACTACTTGGACCGGTTGTAACGAGACTTTGTCGCCAATACAAAGAAAGGCTGAGAGCACTTAGAGTTGTGGCAGGTTTTCGTCCCAGGTATGGAGCTAATGTTAAAATTGTGAAAATGACGTATCTTGCTTATATTAGATCATTGGTTGATTATGCGGCGCCACTACTTGCACTCGTGTCTGACTGGAAGCTTGGAGGACCCATTATGTACCTCTGTAATCTTTTGACTACCGCCCACACCATGAGTATGGGGTGCATAATAAACATGTTAAACTAACTCACGAGGTTTCGGTCCCCCATGGACCATTTTCAAGTCACAGATTAGTCGACTCGAGTCACAGATTAGTTTTTGCCACCGAAGTGGCTAGTTTATTGTGCACTCCATATCCATCCTGTGGACGGTAACGCAAGAGCATATTAATACACAAAAGGCCTAGGAACTAGGCCCCAAAAGACTTAGCAGGTGTACATATGGATTTATATCTACAGTTCACTTATCTGTTACAAGCAAATTTAGGAAATTTGCATAATATATCCGGTATCTTATTTTCATTAATAAGATATTTTGACATGTCACACAGGTTATTATACTGTATATCTCTATATTTCTCAATAAGTGGACAATTAAGCACATAGTGTTCAAGACAGTGACCATATGCCTGATCACATAATTTGCATTTAGTTTGATCATCATCTGTGTGTCTCCCAAACTTTCAGAAGTACTTGTAACCAAGCCTAAGCCTGGCCACTACAACATTAGTTTGTTTACATTGCAAATTGCTCCATAAACATACTTATCTACGTTCATGTTGTAAAGGAAAGTAAAGCAGTACGTGAGAGTAAAAACAGAGGAGCACTTCAGACCCATGCGCAGATCCATGCGCAGACAAGACTAGTGATAGTGAGAGTGAATCACATTTCAAGGAAAGGCTGTACGGTAGTCTTAATATCCTTGTGTTGAATCACACACCCAAGTTGAGCTCTGATCCTTGCGTTGAATCATACGCAGAGGTTGAGGTCTGATCCTTATGTTGAATCACACACAAGAGGTTGAGGTCTGATCCTTATGTTGAATCACACACAAGAGGTTGAGGTCTGATCCTTATGTTGAATCACACACAAGAGGTTGAGGTCTGATCCTTGTGTTGAATCATACACAAGAGTTTGAGGTCTGATCCTTGTGTTGAATCACACACAAGAGTTTGAGGTCTGATCCTTGTGTTGAATCACACACAAGAGGTTGAGGTCTGATCCTTGTGTTGAATCATACACAGAGGTTGAGGTCTGATCCTTGCGTTGAATCACAAACAGAGGTTGAGCTCTGATCCTTGTGTTGAATCACACACAAGAGGTTGAGATCTGATCCTTGTGTTGAATCACACACAGGTTGAGATCTGATCCTTCTGTTGAATCATACACAGAGGTTGAGGTCTGATCCTTGTGTTGAATCACACACAGGTTGAGATCTGATCCTTCTGTTGAATCATACACAGAGGTTGAGGTCTGATCCTTGTGTTGAATCACACACAGAGGCTGAGGTCTGATCCTTGTGTTGAATCACAAACAGAGGTTGAGGTCTGATCCTTGTGTTGAATCACACACAGGTTGAGCCCTGACCATAATCGATTAAAGAGAGAATGTTTGGAATCCAGACAGGAAACCTGCGTCACTGTAGGCAAATAGAATGTATGATAATGCACTTTGCATACACTATTTACATTATTATTAAACCTCTTCGATGTTTTTCAATACGGCAGGGTATTTTCCTTCACTTTGTTTCACGATAGTTGGAATAGAGTAAGAAGAGAGCCTTTTGCTTTACTCTTCTGGCAGAAGCAGTAATAGCATGAGAATGTGTTGTTTCCCTTGTTATAGACGATGAGGTCTAACATGTATTACTTTGTAATCTCGTCTTGTCCTGCTCGTTTCTTCCAAGTCTTCAGATTTGTTATGTTGCTGATGAACCACCGCACAGTTCATGTATGTTCGTAAACTTTCTCATTACAACTACCACTGAAAAATTGTTCGCCCGAACAGGGACTCGAACCCTGGACCCTTAGGTTAAAAGCCTAATGCTCTACCGACTGAGCTATCCGGGCTGTGGGCGTTGTTGTAAACAGTACACTAAAATACTCATATATATATAAATTATATATATATTATATATATATATATATATATATATATATATAATATATATATATATATATATATATATATATATACACTATATATACACATATATATACAATATATACATAAATATATACATAATATATATATATATATATATATATATATATATATATATATATATATATATATATATATATATATTATATATATATATATATAATATAATATATTATATAATATTGCTCTATAATTTTAGTGTTCACTTCCGAAATATAATGGCTCATCACAGTTATATGAATAAATACGTATTTCAGATGCTATGGTTACTAGGGAAAACAGATTCCTTGATTAATAATATAATAATAATATATAATAATATTTTTATTTCCTACAAGTACATGTACAAGGTATACAGTCCTAGCTGACATCTGTGACATACTGCCATATAGAAAGCCGCTTGTTATGTAGAGCATTTCGGGCAAATTAGATCAGTTTTGTCCCAGGATGCGACGCACACCAGTCGTCTAACACCCAGGTACCCATTTTATACTGATGGGTGAACAGGGACAGCAGGTGTCTTATGGAAACACGTCCCTAATGTTTTCCAGCCGTACCGGAGATTCGAACTCCGGACCTCAGTGTGTGAGGTGAGTGTGCTGGCGATCGAGCTGCGGGACATTTAAATATATCCTATTATGTTTTTACGATTATTAAATAAGTTTGTTCAGGTAGAGAGAGGTACACATAAATACAGTTACATAAATTATCATACATAGCAGCATGTGTAGATCACCCAGGATAACCCCCAAAAAAATCAGTGACTTATTTATATTGGGTAAAATAATTAATATTTTTGTTATTTCCCACAGCATTCCTTCATTGGATTAACAAAACTATTGGTCCAGGCAACACTTGCCACTGAATGAAACGTCTAGCAGTCTATCCTCCGTCCCACCACCACCACAAGACCAGTCTATCCTCCGTCTCACCACCACCACAAGACCAGTCTATCATCCGCCTCACCACCATCACAAGACCAGTCTATCCTCCATCTCACCACCACCACAAGACCAGTCTATCCTCCGTCTCACCACCACCACAAGACCAGTCTATCCTCCGTCTCACCACCACCACAAGACCAGTCTATCCTCCATCTCACCACCACCACAAGACCAGTCTATCCTCCATCTCACCACCACCACCACAAGACCAGTCTATCCTCCGTCTCACTACCACCACAAGACCAGTCTATCCTCCGTCTCACCACCACCACAAGACCAGTCTATCCCCCGTCTCACCACCACCACAAGACCAGTCTATCCTCCGTCTCACTACCACCACAAGACCAGTCTATCCTCCGTCTCACTACCACCACAAGACCAGTCTATCCTCCGTCTCACCACCACCACAAGACCAGTCTATCCTCCGTCTCACTACCACCACAAGACCAGTCTATCCTCCGTCTCACTACCACCACAAGACCAGTCTATCCCCCGTCTCACTACCACCACAAGACCAGTCTATCCTCCGTCCCACCACCACCACCACAAGACCAGTCTATCCTCCGTCTCACTACCACCACAAGACCAGTCTATCCTCCGTCTCACCACCACCACAAGACCAGTCTATCCTCCGTCCCACCACCACCACAAGACCAGTCTATCCTCCGTCCCACCACCACCACAAGACCAGTCTATCCTCCGTCTCACCACCACCACAAAACCAGTTTATCCTCCGTCTCACCACCACCACAAGACCAGTCTATCCTGCGTCCCACGACCACCACAAGGCCAGTCTATCCTCCGTCTCACCACCACCACCACAAGACCAGTTTATCCTCCGTCTCACCACCACCACAAGACCAGTCTGTCCTCCGTCCCACGACCACCACAAGACCAGTCTATCCTCCGTCTCACCACCACCACAAGACCAGTTTATCCTCCGTCTCACCACCACCACAACAACACCAGTCTATCCTCCGTCTCACCACCACCACAAGACCAGTCTATCCCCTGTCCTACAATCAACACAAGACTCATTCATTCTCTGTTCCACTACAAGACACATCTATCCTCCCACAACCACCAACACCACACAGTCCATCTATCCTCCCACAACCACCAACACCACACAGTCCATCTATCCTCCCACAACCACCAACACCACACAGTCCATCTATCCTCCCTCCCACGACCACTAATATAAATATATATAATATGACCAACATCCAGGAGTTATAATCCAATATAGTAGTAATCCAGAACGCAGGTGGAGTGGGATGGTATCATGATACCATCATGATATCATCATGATGGTATCATCTCAAAGTATTTATATTTAATCCAAATTGCACAGTAGGGCGACTCTCGTATTTATTAATGTTTGTAAATCAGTATGTTTATTGAAGCTTATGTACTTCGATATGTGATTTTTTATAATTATTCTCTCTTCTAAGTAAATCCTCACACTTTGCCTTATAAATGACCTTTTTAGCTTCACAAACCTTAATAGACTGAAAAATAAAGATTTTTTGAAAAAAGTCATCATTATTGCCACGTGTATTTATGATTGATGAGTGAAGTAACTGTATGTTTGTGACTGATGACTTCAATAACTGCATGTGGTTGTGACTGATGAGTGCTTGCTGTAACTACATTTGTGATTTATGAACAATACATGTATGTACATTGTGTGAGTTATAGGGGCAATAACCCATTTGCACAGCAAACGTCTGTGGCCTGATAGGCAAAGCTCTCGCTTTACACGCTGAGGGTACATAGTTCGATTCCCGGCAAGAGTGGAAACATTGGGCGTGTAGATATACAAAAGGAATATGAACTAGACCCTAACAGTGTTAATAGGGGTACATCTGGATATATGTCTGGTAACTTATTTTCACAAATAAGATTTCTCAACATATATAGGCTGTTGTACGGTGTATCTCTGTATTCCTAGCTACTTCATTCATGTGGAGGCTAAACTCAATAGTGGTCATACAACGCCAGGGGAATTTGAGATAGAGTCGATCCAAGGTAAGGGAGGGTTCCAATTCTTTGAATGAAAAGCCCTTCACACTTATCAAGGCACCTTAACAGGCCTTTATTCCTCGGTAAGTGGACAGTCAGGCACAAAATGTTCATGAGGCTAACCATATACTGTGCACTTAGTTTGATCATCCTTAAAGTATATGCACATCTGCCGGAAGTACCTGCAGCCAAGCATGTATATGTCGTGTCAGTTAAGCCGATCAGGGAAGCTCAGCCAAATTGGTCAGCCCGTTTTCTGTTAAATTGTCAGTGTGAAAACTGTTTTTCGCAATAACTCTTCTAAATTCAATCTGAGCATAACGAAAAAAAAGTTACCATCATTCTTAATGACCCTTGTTTAGCTGATAGGCCTTAAATTATATTAACCAAGCCTAAGCCTAGTTGTTACACCAGTCAGGCTATTTATATAATCGGTCTCTTATGCAAGGTTTTGAATATTTTCTTAAACTACGTTTCGCTCACCAGGTGCTTTAATAAAATATTCAGAACGATGCATATTTTCTAGAAATTTTCTTTTATATAAGTGGAAGGGAAGGATCCACAAGAGGAAGTCTAGTGAGTCTTATAACACTGAATTTGACTCGTCCCGTCGAGGCGCCAGACTAGGTCAGTGCTGACAGCCTCTTGTTACCATTCAGTAAATGTAAGTTGCCGCTGCTAGACACTTATTGTACGTTATAATTCGTAAGGTTTTAATTATATGGCAGTAATAGCGATCTAAATAAACGTAACCCCCTTCTAATAGAGGAAACACCAACCTTCAGACATGTGTGGCCTCGCACTAGGTTGGTTGACCTGTCAAAACATCAGGATCAGAGGTGTCAGACAGCTGAGGACCAGTAAACGTTAACATTTCGTAGTGATGACGTGCATGATCACGGAGTTAACTAAAATATGTGTAACGGACTTACGTTAAACCATATTTAATACACGAACATTGAACTAACGAAGTCATAAGATGACTAAACATCCCTAGCGCGAGGAGACGATATATTCGGTGTCACACTGGATTATAATTTAACTCGTGTTACTCTCAAAGTGTACATAATGGTTAAGTGAAACCTTTTGAACTCGTAGATTGAGACAAATCATATCTGACTTGTCCTGAAGACGACTGCTGCATCAGTACTAGACCTCCCACACAGGTGTCTACGAGGTAAATCTCGTCAACTATTTATCAAGTCTATGAAACATGTCACAACATTGTATAGAGGTAGTTACTAGTTTACATAGAGGTCCTACTAGGGTGGACATCTAGAAAACATCACACCCCTAACAGACTATGTTCACTGACTTTTCAGAGGTAAGTATAGTAAAAACCAGTTGTAACGACCCAAATATGGAAGGTAGTTATAGGCCGTGGCTGCAATAGTCTGGGCGTCAGAACTAAAGTGTAATTTTCCAACATACACTGCATGATGCGCTAAACCCGTGTCGGTTATTCAGTTCTAACTGGTGGATGTTTTATCCTCCGTCCGCTAATCTTGAGATAGACGGGCTACTCTTACAGTATGATTGGTATATCCATACCAGTCGTACTCACATCAGTCAGCTTACATTGTAAGTTGCTCCGTCAGTGTGCTTATCTTCATTCATTTTATCGTGTCATTGATCTATTGACTGGCCATATTCCCATGATGTGTCATATGCTTGATATATTTGCAATGGATGATCTGAAACACGTGAGAAGCACGGTGCCAAAATCACAACAGCACTAATTTGTAATAACTTGACTCGATCAGCTGTGTCCTCAACGTTTGACGGTCACACTTCTTTTTCATTTAAGTCATTGGGTGTGATAACTGTCGAGACTGTCATGTGACTCGAACACCTGTATCCACTTTTTTGCCTCTCAGATACGCCGTTTTAATTATTCTTTTCGGGTTAAAGTGCTTCTTCAGCTCCCGTTTTAATTAACTAGCTAATGGGTGCGATATAAAGTCAGATCTTACAAAAGTGTAATGCCGTACAGATGTCTTTAATGAAACGTAATTCTACACAATTCTAGGTGAACATATATGTTCAGCTGTCAGTGTTATTATGAAGAGGAAGACTGTTCCGTTACTTGGATCAAGAATCCCAGTGCAGCATTAAGGTACCTCCTTCGAAAGGTATGGTAGTCAAGAATGTTTACCAACTACTTGCCTGATGCGAAATATTGACTACAGACTTGTCGTTTCATCACTCCTTGGATCTCATATCACTCATATCACTTTCTCTGAAAAAATATCTCTCGACAGATAAATATGTTTATTTCGCTAAAATACATTCAAGTTACACTGGATGGTTTTACAATTTGTATGATTACATGTGGGTTACAGCTTTAGGAAGACACTGTTTCGCCTAATTGGCTATTCAAATAGAGCATTAGGTAAACCCGCACTTCGTGCCAATTTCCAACATAATTCGTCTCTCAACCCTTGAGTGGAGAGGACGTGTGCTGCTGCTGCCCCCTGGAGTTGTCTGGTGGCAGTATCATTTTCACAAACATGGCTGGCGCCGGATAAATACTGTTTGCATTGAATTAACCAGTGGTGCTGTAACGGGGCCATCAATGGAGTTGCTTCTGCCTGCAATTATCAGAGACACCTACGGAATAGCCAATGAGGAGATTTGTGGACTTGCACTGAACGGTACGAAGAGGATTTTTGTAAAATTTAGTTCGGCGAATGTGTATGAGACAGTGGTGAATAAGTTTCAGGAAGTGGCCATACCAGTTAATCATGTTGTGACGGTGAGACTGCATGATGTATCCAGCTATTACACATGGGTTAAGATCAGGAATGTGCCGTTCGAGGCGGATGCATCTGATATCCGGTTCACTATGTGTAAATACGGCACAATACATACGGTCACTGCAGGAAGGTGGTCAGATGGCCCGTATGTGGGGATACCTGAGGGTACATTCTCTGTCAAGATGACGCTCAGACATCCTATTCCATCGTACGTGGTGATGGAAGATTTCAGGACTCGGGTTTTTGTGACATACGCTGGGCAGCGACGCACTTGCCGTTTGTGTGGGTCGTATGATCACCTGGCTGCGCAATGTGAAAGACGACGTGGTGATAAGGACCAGCAGCAACGACGAGATGTGGAGGAAAGGAGAGAGGATCGAGATCAGCCGTATTCGACTCGGCCTCAGCAGAGTTTGACATGGAGTGAGGAGGTTGAGAGGGCCGAAGAAAAGGAGATGGCAGGGGCTACGCGGGGGGGACATCACTTCCCTGGACGTTGTACTAGTGCTGGATGAGGTCATCGCGGAAGTGAATGGTAGCGATGCGGAAACGTCAACAGTGTCGACGTTTGGGAACATTTTGGGCAATGAGCGTCCTTGTCAGGATGTTGGTACAGACCTGGATCATGGGTCTGCAGTTGAGGAGGGCGTGGTGATGCCAGCTCGGCCTGAAGTGTGTGATAAGGATGCCCAGTTGGTGAGAACTGTGGAGGTGGAGGTTCATCATGGCACTGCGCTGGATGACTTGATGCAGGTCGAGGGTACGACGCGTAAGCGCGCAGCAGTGCTTTCTGATTCCGACGACGTGCTTATGCCCGCACAACGGCCTGGGAAGAAAACATGGGCGGATGCCATGCGGAGAGGTTCAAGTGACACTCAGGGCAGGGGTTGAGTAAGTGTGCCCAGAAAGGGGGGGTAGGGAAAAGGGTGCAATGAAACGTTCAGGTGATAAGTCGGTAGTGTCAAGAGGGAAACCCCCTTTGTCGGTTTTAAGTGCCTGACATTGAACATCAATGGCTTGAGGTCTCAGAGAAAGTGAGAGTGGTTTAGGGAATATTTGGTGCGTCATGATGTTGACGTGTTCTTGCAGGAGCACAATTATAGACTGGGTTATGAGTTGAAGGTGGATGGATATAATGTGTGTGTGTTGAGCATGCAGTCAGATTGAAAGGAGGTGTGGCCATTTTGGTGAAAGAAACTAGCCCGTTGGTTGTCAGGCATAGTGAGGGGGGGAGGGGAGGGTGATTCGTGTGGATGGGTTATGGGGTCAGGTACAGATGACGTTGGTGTGTGTGTATGGCCCGGCAGAGGGAGATGTAAGGGTAAAGAATAAATTCGTGAGGGACGTTCTGGTATATTATTTGCGTGGATTGCCGGGGGTTGCTGTGATAGGTGATTGGAACTGTGTGATAAGGAGTAAGGATGGGTTTAACCGAGGGGGCAGGGGATTGTTTGAGAATATGGGAGACTTGTTATCCGGGGTAGGATTGATTGATGTTGGGGGAGGTGAGGTGGTGGAGCACACATTTATTAAGCGTGGGTATGCAGCTAGGCTCGATCGATTGTACGTGCCCAGGACAGTCGTAATACATAGTGTGAGGGTAATGGATGTAGTAGTTTCTGATCACAGGGGTGTTTTGGTGGATGTAGGTTGGGAGGGGTTGCCAAGAAGGTGTAAGGGGTTTTGGAAGTTGCATGTAAAGTTGTTGCAGGAAGAACAGTCTCGACAGTCATTTGTTCAATAGTGGGAGGAGTTGGTGGTGGAGGCGCCTGGGAATAGTGATCTGGTTAGTTGGTGGGACTCTGTGGCGAAATCTCGTATTAAGGAATTTTATATTCGTAGTGGGAGGGAATATACCAGGTTGAAGTATGGGTACCAATCTTATCTTGAGGGGCAGTTGAGAGCTTGCTACGAGCATGGGAGTGCTAGTTATCTGGTGGACGATATTGAGGGATTAAAGGAGCGTATTAGGGATTTGCAAAATGAAAGATTTGATGGCGCGCGAGTTTTGGGTGGGCTGGAAGAGGTGTTATAGGGTGACAGGCCTTCGGCATGCGTGTTGAGGCGACAGCGTAAGAGAAGAGTGGCGACGGAGATGATGGGATTAACTGTTCATGTGGGGATGGAAGGGTATAGGGAGAGGCAGGTATTAGTGACGTCAGAGGGTATGAGTGGATATCTAGATGCATGGTTTAGGTCATATGCACAAAACGGAGGTATTCGAGATGAGGCTTTAAAGGAAATGGGAGGTTTAGTGCAATGTGAGATTGATGGTATAGATAGGGTATCATTAGAAGGTCCGATCACGGAAAGTGAGATTTCGCATGCTTTGTCCGGTGCAAGTTTAGGTAAGGCGCCAGGTGTAGATAGGTTGCCTAATGATTTTTACGTTAGGAATTGGGAAGTATTGAGAGGATTTTTAGTTAGGTTATTCAATATAATGAAGGATGATGGGGAAATGGGTGAGCAGCAAAGGACTGCTGTTGTGTTATTAGTTCCGAAAGGTGGACAGACTACGGTAGGGAATTACCGAGCAATATCGCTTTGTGTGGCGATTTTAAGTTATTTGCACGGATTTTAGGAAATAGAATAAAAAAGGTGATAGGTAAAGTAATTGACAGGACAAAGGGGGTCCCGGAGGAAAAAAAGAGGGGCAGGGAGTTTTTAGAAGTTTTAAGAGCAGAGGGGGTTGGGGGGGGGGTGTTTTGGTTTGGGATTGGAGAGGGGTTTACTAGGTAGAGGGGGGGCTTATGGGGGTTCAGCGTTGGCAGGATTCGGGGGAAATTATATCTTGGGGAAAACATTGTATCAGGGGCACATGAGGTACAAGTTTGGGGGCAGGTTTTTTAACTTTCAAGGGGAAGGGGTTTGCGACGGGGATCCCTCGTCGAAAATTTTGTTTGCGGCCTCCAGGACCCTTTTATGGGGCATTAGGTGGAGTATCGCAAGTGGAGGGGTTAGTAATGAATGGGAGGGTCGGCCGGGTATTGTGGGTTATGTGGATGATACAACTGTATTGGTGAGGGATGAGAAGGATTTACACAAGGTAGGAAAGGTGGTAGATGTGTTTGGCGAGGCTACTGGGATGGAAATTAATGTGGCAAAGTCTAAGTATATGGACCTAGGCAATAACGTAAATAGAGGTGGGACTGTAGGGCGCGGGTGGAGTGTGGTGGATCAGCTATTGATTTGTGGGATAGTGTACATTAAGAATGATAGGGTCGCGCAAGAGGTAAATTCAATGCGCACCGTGGATGGGGTATTGAAAAGATTGGGTGGTTTGAGGATGGCGCAGCTAACGTTGCATCAGAGGGCCATTGTGACGAACGTCCTGTTGTATAGCAAGATATGGCACGTGGTGGCAATATACCCACTGAGGCAGCGAGAGGTGCAACGATTTATATGGGGATCGGGTTGTGACTGGCTAAGTAGAGGGGTGGTGATGCTTCCCGTTAGCCAGGGGGGGCTTGGGCTTATACCTTTAGAAAAGCGTATGATGAGTGTGTATCTAAAACGCGGCTATTTGAGGGAGGTGGGGGCGAGGAGAGGGGGGCTAGAAAGACTGCGTATGGATATGCAACGATGGTGGGGGGGGTAAGGATTTAATGATTGGCGAGGCCATGTTGCGGGTTTTAATGATGGTGAGGGATCCGAAGCCCCTCAAATTGAGGATTCTTGAGATGGTGGGGGGTGGGTCTGTGGTGGCGGCAGTTGAGGGGGCATACCCCATGTATGCGTGGGGGAATATCTGGAAATGTTTACGGCAATTGCGTGTTAAACCAGGTGTAAGGGAGGTAATGTTTAGGTTTCTACATGGAATCTTGCCGTCTGGTGTTGTGTTATTTAATAGGAGACTAAGGGAGGGAGGGGAGTGCAAGGCGTGTGGATGTTCGGAGACTATTTTTCATGCGGTGTATTTTTGTAATTGTTTAGAAGCTGTGAGGGTATGGTTAGGTAGGGTAGTTAGGTTAGTGGGTGGGGAAGGTTTACAGGTGTTAAGGGTGTTAAGTTTAGATATAGGTGAGATGAGTCAGATGGTGGTGAATGCGGTTGCGTATGTGGTCACTGATTTTATTTATACGTCTTGGGCTATGAGGGAGGTGGGTGTGGATGAAAGAATAAAGGTGTTAGCGGCCACCATTTATAGAACTAAGTGTCGAAAGAGGGATCTTTATGGGGGAAGGTGGGAGACAGCGTTTACTGAGGGATACCGGAGTTTTAAGTTGAAGGATTTACGGGATTTAAGTGTAAAGTAAGGGGTAACGACGGGCTAGTTTCTTGAGTGGGGATGTGTGGATGGCTTTTAAAGTGTGTGATTGGATTTGTATTGATAAATTTATGCTTTTCCTGTGTAGCGAGTGTGGTGTGTGTGGTGGTATTACACATGTGTTCCCTTTATGTTGTGGAGATTTTGGATAGTACATGTACGTAGTGTATTGGATCACTACATCGTTGTGTGTATATAAGGTGAATGAAAGGGTAGTGTGTGTGAGAATAACTGTTCGTTATTGTTGAGAGTGTCTTCAAAGATGTTATAGAAAGCACATACTACGTGGTGTTACTAAGGTATGCCATATGACAGTTTAGAATATGCTGTGATACAAAGTCCGGGGTTTCCCTTCTTGTAGGAAGCATTCTGTAAGACACAATTTCTGTATATCTGAAGGTTCGGAAGTGTAAATAGCTGTAATGAGCAACGTGGTACAGTTTAATATTATCCGAGATTGTATTTTGGCACATAAGGCCTAACATATAATGTTTCAGCGGCCTGGTTAAGATTATATAGTATATGTCGTGTGACACTGTATGTGTAGGGTAGTGTTATATATTTTAAGTACACGCTGTTGGTTTCCCTTTGCTATTTTAATGTTTCAAGTCACATGTAAGAGTATATGTAAGGTAATATAAAAATGTATATTGATTTTGTGTAAATACATAATTTTAGATGACTTTGTTGGAGCAGGTATGCATATGAGTTCAAGTAGCGGTGTATGTCATGTTTTAATACTGCTATAAGGTATATAGTGTATGAAGAAGTCTTGGGTGGATGGCACCCGTGTTGAGATATAGTACTAGTATATCATCCTTGTATGCTAGGCAAAGTTTTCATTGTTACTTAGAACAAGCAGTATCCTACGCTCTTATAGTGTGTCATTGTTTTGTGGTATTTGATGAGGGGGGGGGTACCTTTTTACTTCCAGAGCACATATGTACGACTTTATAAATGTACCTTTGGTGGGGGGTGGATGTATTGGTTTTAATGGTACGTGGTGAGGTTTTTACCTTTAAGAATTTTGTATATAAAATTTGGCATAAGATGTATAAGTGTGCTGGAGTAGATTATCTGGATATGTTGTTGGTACACTTGTGTGAAGTGTAACTTTTTGTTTTTGGATTGTGTATACGTATGTTGGACTTTAATTTTGTTGTTACATGTTGATTGGTTTAGCGACATATGTTTACTTCCATGTATAATGTATACTGTATTTTAAATAAAATAAAAAAATTTCCAACATTGTGAAGCTATACAGATGAAATCATTGTGAAGCCAGAGACCACGCTATACATACGAAATCATTCTCAGTGTTATAGGGTCATCCCCCGAGTGAACAATCTACACCACACCAGGTATTAGACGTTTCAAAATCAAATATACCATGACCCTTTCGGATTTAGCTCTTAACTTGATTATTTTATTGTTATTCAAGTAAACACCTGTTGCGACACAAAAGTAAACATAGTGCTGTCGGGTCCAGAAGCTATGAATCGACACCTTTTAGTTTAATATGTTTATTATGCACCCCATACCCATCCTGTGGGCGGTAGTCAAAAGATTACAGAGGTACATAATTGGTCCAGGGACTGGACTCCAAAGTTTTGATAGCTGAGCAAGTTACAGAGGTAATGAACTCACAATTTACAAAGGTAATGAACTCACAATTTACAAAGGTAATGAACTCACAATCGACACCTGCAACCTCAATTATGTGAGTACTTGCTTGACCGCCAGTGTGGTCGTTCATCCTGTGACATCACATACAAGGTGGTGTGAAGGTGACGCTCACAGGGTGAGCTTCAAACCCTCTGGGGTTAAAAATTCGAACAAAATCTTATCTGTCATACTGGCGGTCAAGTGGGTACACATGTTCTGCACATGTTCTCTTGTGCGACAAGACAAGGGCGTTTGAGGCAAAATACTGTGCATTAATAATAATAGGTAGGCATAATGTTTGTCAGGAAACAGGACAAATGTTTCCTGACTCGGGTCTTAGTCATATGATGACTCACAACTGGTGCTTTTGGTCATCTGACTGAGGCCTTCCGCAGGCTTACCCATCCACCTCTTCAAAAATCATGGTTATGATTATAACTATTAAATGTTAACTGACAATATATAATAATAATAATAATCAAATAAGTATAATATATACAAATTGAATATTTGTTTAATAATTTTGAGGTACTGACATATTACAAACAAAATGTTTGTAATATGTATTTCACATGTAATAATTTATATATATTACGTACCGTATAGGTAAAACTGGTCAATTAGCAACAACTCGTTGAAAAATAAGTCGTCTCTAAAGTATTCTCTTATACGTTTAAAGATTTTTTTTTTCATTTATGTTAATGTGAAAATTAATAATTTTGTACCAAAAGTATCTTAGGAAACTTATCTAACCTTATTATAACTAGCGCAATTTAATTTAGCCTAATCCAACTAAATATATTTTAGTCAAGTTTACAATAATTTAATAATAAACACACTGAAATATATTTTTTTCGTTAGGTTCAGAATGATTTTTGCGAAATTATTGCTTACACAAATTTTCGCTTGCCTTATTCGGCAAGAAGAGCGTTGCTACTTAAGCCAAAATCGCAAGTTTTATCTATTCGGCACGACATATATATATTTGTTTTTAACACGTCGGTTGTTTCCCACGTGTGCGACTTAACTCGAGTGTTTAAAGTCTTAATTGACAGGAACTATCTCAGAATTATAGGTTCTGTCAACGAAGGAACAGACACTCGTGCTTCTGTACTCTATATAATTTTCTAGACATCAAAGACTGGCCCCCCAGGTTCTCCACTTCCCCTACATATCTCTCTAACTTGCCTAAATTATTATAAATATCCATAAGGAGCGATTAACTTTTGAAGATCATATAGCGCCTAAAAGTGAGAAATAATCAGGTTTATTCCGAAGAAGTGGAATTTTTTAGTCAGCCCCTCGACACCATCAAGGCACAACCCTCTTGTAAAGAAGACACTATATGACCCTGGTGGTTCAGCGCTTAGTTTTGATTATAATAATCTTTAAAAAAAAAAAGTGCCTAGAATATCACCTAGAGGCACAACTTTGCTATAGAGACCTAGCCTCAGCATTTACCAGTTCATTATCTAGGATCCCAGTGTGCCTCGGGCTTCTATAAAACTACACGTCCTTGTTGCTGTAATAAATACAAGGAAGAAACTACTTGCAGAAAGAAAACGTAGTCAAAAATGCATCATATAATATGCCTAATGCTTTTATGACTACATTTTATGAAAGGTGAGGAAAGAAGGTTGAGCTAATGCTGTTTTTTCTTCTTTTGCGATATAGAATTTTTTTTTTCACTTTAGGAGAGTAACACTTCCGAGATTAGGCAATACTGGGATAGTTGGTTTGAGATCCTTGACTTGACAGCAGAAGGCCAGCCCCCGTTCTCGATCACTCGTGTCCCAGTCTATCCAGCTGAGCTCATGACATAGGTCACGACACGGAGGTTGAAACAGGGACAATTCCTTGGCCTTTCCTTTACCCGTGAGTTCATTAACCCCAACAATGGCGACTGCTTGACGTGATTTGATGTCGTGTACTACCTGGTGGGATGGGAAGAAGAGGTTGAATGTGGGAACGATGCTAAGAGTTGACAGAGGATAGTTAATGAAATTATTCCTCTCTAGATGTATGAAATGTATCTATTGGCACTAATGACAAGTTGATACTGGCATCATCCCTACTCCACTCTTCACAGCTTCCTTTACTCCCTCAAGTCTTACCTTCCACACGAGAGCTGGCACCGGAATGATCTTCAATTTTTCTGGTAGCCCTAGGAAAAGATCGATATGGTTATTGTTGGCATCTGGCAGTTGGAGAGTGCCATAAGTGCCAGTCCACACCTCCAATGTCCTCTTTTTCTTCTTGGCTAGATCCCGGATGTCGTTCTCAAGACGCTGCCAGGGAGGGAAGGAAGAAGCTGGTGACTAGCAATAATATTTTTGGCAAAATAGAAATATTTCTAACTGGTCCAGCACCAGCCGAAATGTCGAATTATCGTTTCCAATTTAAACCTGTAGTTTACTGGAAGTGTTTTTTTTTTTTTTTTTTTTTTTTTTTTTTTTTTTTTTTTTTTTTTGTAGCTATGAGTATTGTTTGTCTTATTTACTGTATCATGTGGGGTTCGAACACGTGGATAGGGTAAAGAAATACTCACGTAGGCTGGAAGTATGTATATTACGGATAATGTGGGAAGCGCCAAACAGCCGTGACCTGCCTCCTTGCTCTCTCTCCTAAGACTAACTAACCCCAGTACCCATATGTGAGGGGGGTGTTTGAATACTGCTGTGGTCTGTGACTGTGGAATTACTAACTGGTATACTCTTCTGCTAGGAGTACCCAACTCGGCTGTTCGATACAGTAATTCTTGGTTCATGACAAAGTCACTGATGGGTGCTGGTGGCTTCAAAGTCAGAATAAGATCTTCCTGGAGCAGGAATCGAATCACACCAGACCACATGGGATCTGTTCGTTGAGCATTCTTTACATCTTCAGCACTAAATGGAGGGTCTGCAGTTACTATACTAACATGTCGCGATAAGGCATCTGTGACTACATTTGACTTGCCAGGTAAGTGTTCAAAGGTGGGATTGAACTCTTGGATAGTCAAGGTCCATCTGGCTAACCTTCCAGTAGGTTGCTTGTTCTGGAATAAAGGTATCAGTGGAGCATGGTCTGTCAAGACATGAACAGATTACTGATAAATGTCTCGGAAGTGCTTTAAAGACCATACTATTGCTAAAGCTTCTTGCTCAGTTACTGTATAATTACGTTCAGCCTTCATAAGGACTCGGCTAGCAAATGCAACTGCGTTGTACTTGCCATCGGTCTTCTGAGCTAGTACGGCATCCTATGCCAATTGAACTAGCATCAGTTGTCAGATAGAAGGGCTTAGAAAAATCTGGAAATTTCAAAATTGGAGCAGATGTTAGCTTTTCTTTTAGAGTTTGGAATGCTCTTTCTTGACGGAAGGTCCAAACAAAAGGAGCATCTTTCTTAAGCAACTCAGTTAGAGGAGCAGCTATGGAAGAAAAATGGCAATGAAAGATCTATAAAAACCTGCTAAGCCACAAAGGATCTTACGGCATCAGCAGTTTTGGGTGTTGGAAAATTTAGTACTGCAGTTACTTTACTTTGGTCAGTCGTAACCCCTCTAGGAGTGACTACGTGACGAGAAACTTATTTCTGATCTGAAAAATTGACATTTAGACAGTTTGATCTTTAAATTGGCTTCTTCAAGCTTACCAAGTACTACATCAAGTCTTTTCAAGTGTGTATCCACGTCTTTAGACATGATGATTACGTCATTTAAGTACACCATAAGTGCATTACCTATGAGACCTCTAAAGATATTAGTCATGAGCCTTGAGAACGTGATAGGGGAGGATCGTAATCCAAACGCCATATGGAGGAAGTGATAATGACCTGTAGGAGTGGAGAATGCAGTTAGCTCTTGGCTGTCCTCGTGAAGAGGGACTTGCCAAAACCCTTGTAACAAATCCAGGGTTGAAAAGACTTTGTTATCTCCGATGTTACGTAAAAGATCACCCAGTACAGGAAGTGGGAAGCGATCTGGAATAGTTTTCACGTTTAACTTCCTAAAGTCAATTACTGGGCCCCAAGTACCATCCTTCTTAGGTACTAGGATCAAGGGTGCATTCCAAGGTGAATTGCTAGGTGCAATAACTCCATCATCAAGCATTTGATTGATCAATTCTTCTGCGACAGCAACTTGTGAATGAGGCATTCTGTACGCAGGTATGTAGATAGGTCTAGTACCAGGTTCAAGTGGAATACGATGGGACAATAAGTTCGTTATACCCATCTTCTCACCTGGTAAAGCAATGGCTTTACGACGTTTGTTCAACAGAGTCAACAAACGCTTGACTTCATCTGGGAAGTCAGTGGGAGCTAAGTCTTTCTCCTCAACTGGTGGAACAGATTGATCCAGTGAAGTGGATGAGGTCTCCCCGGCAGAAATAACACCGACCCACTGGTCAGGTGACAACTCATCCTCTACCTGAACAGGGTAAGGATAGTGAACAAGGTCAACAAGATTGGTATTGAGTAATACTCACGTAAGCTGGTAGTACGTATAATTATAACGGTAATATGGAAGAGCCAAACAGCCGTGACCTGCCTCCTTGCTCACTCTCGTCAGACTCACTACCCACAGTACCCATATGTGAGGGGGGTGTTTGAATACTGCTGTGGTCAGCAACAATATGAATACAGACAGTGATTCACGCAGAGACGGTTGGTAGTGAGTCATCTACTGGTACACTGGTTACTGGTAACTGGTACTACTACTGAGAACTGGGATTATAGTTTGTTCATAAATTGGCAGAGATGGCATGTATTGTTTGAAGGCACCTTGCTAAGTGAACATGGTAATATGTTAAGAGATGCACAGAAACCTCTTAGTAGGTCATAAGTTTTTGAGATAGGAAATAATATCCCTGTCATATTAAATCTCAACCCAGTCATCAGCCCATAGCTCATACTAGTAGACATCTTAATCGACCATAATATTTTTAAGCACTACAGAATCCCACCACAGCACCAATCCACTCTCGTCCCTCACAACACAGTGACCAGTCACCAAAAAACATCCTCGGCAGTCAAAACACCAAAAGCTAGCTTTTGCATACAGGAGTATCTCTTCCAACACTGCATATCCAAATAAGTTGGTTGTTAGTGTTCAGTCTTGAGAGGCACTCTGTGAAATCTTTCTCTTCGATGCTACGTTACTACTGCTAGGTTGTAAACGCTCTACTAAATAGTTTGAAGAATGTAACCACATCAGTTTGTCTTAATTAGCAAATGAAGAATGGTATTATTGATATAAATAATTTCATAATAAAGAGACGTAATAGTGTAACCACTGTTAACAAAGAATTGGGTATCATTGTACATTAACATTTAGTAAGGGATTCAGTGGTCTAAGATCGACTGCGATTAGCAAACATAGGATCGAGCCTCTAACATTCCTTACGCTAGTATTTATTAGTCCTTGTTTTATAATCCATTTTCTTCCCCGACCAACCTCAAAATCCCCGTGACCTTCCAGTTTTCTCCAACCTGTACTGTACCCGAAAGTCACACATGTACATAAAATGCAATAAATAGTAACTCATTAATACAGCATTAAAAAAAGTCATCATTATAATTACATGTAAGGAATGGAAATGCACATTAAGGAAAGCTATAAATAGAAAAAAATAATGGAAGTGTACAAATATTTCACGTAAAGCAGTGATCACATGAAACACAAGTTACACTAATTTTAGAGAATGTTTGTGTATCAAGCGCAAGGTGTAGTGTAGAGAGAGAGAACACTCGCATGTTTTCCTGATCATGTCCCCCGGAAGACTGATATCAGCGGTTTTTTTTTTACCCCGGCGGGTTAGTCAACCAGGATAACCAAAGAAGGTAGTGCGATCTCAGTCTTGTCCCCCAGAATACAACCCACACTTAGCAAGTAGGCACCAGGCACCTATTTGCTAGGTGAACGGGGAAAGTAGGTGTAAGGAAACACGCCGGTGTTTCCACCATTGCCGGAGATCGAACCACGGACATTGTGTGTGAAGCGAGACCGTTGCCTACCAGACCATGGGACACCCCTTATCATTCAGTTCAACTTCAATTACCATTCACCATGTAATGGTACAAAAACGTGTATGAGACACGTCAGTTCAGCCCAACGCTGATCACACGAACAGGAACTGGATCCGTGAAACCTGACTTTATTCCAGTAAAAATCTACCACCACCACCATAATATGTGAATATTAAAACTGTATTGGTTCTATGATTAAACAAAATAACAAGAAAGAAGGGAAGTTCTCTCCCACAAAGTTAAAATTATTTCAAATATACCAGATATTGAAATATTTACAAATAGCCAGCTGTGGCCCTTCTTAGTATATTACCATGGCCCAATTGGAGGCCATGGCCCGAAGTTTGAGAGCCAGTGTCTTGTGATGGATGACCCACACGGGTTTAACGTTGCACATAAATAATAATGTGAATTATCACATACATTTGTCTCCCCAGATGGAATGATGATACTCAGTGGTGAGTGTGAATGTTGGTGTAGCGTGTGCTGACCCAGGCTGGTGAGGCCAGGTGGTGTGCCGCACTGATCAAGGCTGGTGAGGTTAGGTGGTGTGCCGCACTGACCCAGGCTGGTGAGGCTAGGTGGTATGCCGCACTGACCCAGGCTGGTGAGGCCAGGTGGTGTGCCGCACTGACCCAGGCTGGTGAGGCCAGGTAGTGTGCCGTACTGACTCAGGCTGGTGAGGCCAGGTGGTGTGCCGCACTGATCCAGGCTGGTGAGGCCAGGTGGTGAGATAAGATAAGATAAGATTTCGTTCGGATTTTTAACCCCGGAGGGTTAGCCACCCAGGATAACCCAAGAAAGTCAGTGCGTCATCGAGGACTGTCTAACTTATTTCCATTGGGGTCCTTAATCTTGTCCCCCAGGATGCGACCCACACCAGTCGACTAACACCCAGGTACCTATTTGCTGCTAGGTGAACAGGACAACAGGTGTAAGGAAACGTGTCGAAATGTTTCCACCCGCCGGGAATCGGTGTGCCGCACTGACCCAGGCTGGTGAGGCCAGGTGGTGTGCCGCACTGATCCAGGCTGGTGAGGCCACGTGGTGTGCCGCACTGACTGTTACGACTTAATCTTCACCGTAACAATAGGGGCACAAATAACTCCATTTTTTTTGTTAGCTTTATTTTATTACCAATCATTTAGCTTCATTGGTATTTGGTTAGTGAATTAAAATAACCACAAGTAATTATAAATGAAACACTATACAGCAAGAAACCCAATCTTAAGTTCAAATTCTCATTAACAGAGTATGATAAAATAATTTCAATTAATAA